GCTGGGCAAGGTAGCAAGACTTTGTCTCAAAATAATAAAAATGGCCAAGGACATAGCTCAGTGGTAGAGTGCCCCTGGGTTGGACCCTGGTACTGTAAATAAGTAAATAACTACCAGAGAGAAGGACTTTGCTGTTCCTCCGTAGTGTTGCTTCATTCAAGCCCTTCATGGATTAGCTGAGGGAGGGTCTTTCCTCAGTGTCCTCAGGGGCACACCAATTGCTTGCAGAAGCACTCTCAGAGACAACCAGAAACAGTGCTTATCTGGGCGTCCCTTAGCCTAGTCAAGTTGACACATGAAACTCACCTTCGCCCACCACCTTCTGATGGCAGTAGAGGTGGCATCTGTCCCCGCAGAACAACTCTGTGTAGTGTTATCCGAGTCATCCCCAAGAGTCCTGCCCAGACCTGGCGTCTCCATCCTCCCAGTGAGGTAAGCACTAAATTCCTGTTCTGTTCCATGAGCAGGAACGGTTTGCTTCCTACAACCAGACCCTGGCTGCTACCACATCATCACACGTGGAACACTACTTTACACTTTCAGTTTTACACGCTACTAAGTTCTAACACAAAGTAAGCTGTCAGGCACTGTGTGCCTTTTTAAAGGCGATCTTGACATTTTTCTTGCTAATAAAAAAAAATGGCTGATAGGAATTGGGGGAAATCAAATACAGAAAACTATAATGAAGTGTCTTAGTCACTTTCCTCATTGCTCAGACACAATACCCAGCACCAACAAATGAGAGCAGGAAAGGTTTATTCCGGCTCACAGTTTGTAGAGGTTTCAGTGCATAGCCTAGTGGCTCCACGGCAGGGCGGCCTGGCCAAGGGGAACGGCAGAGGAGAGCTGCTCAAGGATGACCCACAGGAAGTGAAGAGGACTCTGGAGGGGCCCGGAAGGGAGAGAGACCCTTCCAGGCCAGGCCTGCAGGCCCGTGACCCACCTGTCCGACCACACCCCACCTCCCAACAGCAGCAGGTCAGCTGTAAGCCCTCATGATCCTATTAGCTTCCAAAGGCCCCACCTGTGAGTTCCGGAGGCTCTTGGGATATCTAGATACAAACCGTAACGTGAAAGAAATCCAGATCTCCCAAATTCCCATCACCTGGAGACACCAACCTGCGTTCTTATTTTGTAGAACATTCCTCCACGTATTTCTCAAATTGCAATTTATACACACACACACACACACACACACACACACACGCGCGCGCGCGCGCGCAATTGCATGCACACCCACATGTGTCACTGAGGCCTTCCTTTGCACAGTTCAGGTGCCATTACTGTGGCCCAGTTGGTCCTGAAGGTTCACATGCCCACGGGCCATGCGCTGGTAACAGCAGGAAGGGACAGGCCCAGCCCAGCCGTCCTCTCCCTGATCCTCACTACCTCCCTCTTCACTCCAGGGTCCTGGTCATTACTGGTCTCGGTGGGGAGCGGTGTCCAGTCCCACCTGGTCCTATATTAAGGTGTTAACTGCGGTGGGAAGGCGGGAGCGACAATCACTCATCGTCACAATATCCCAAGTTGTGGGTCAAGCTCACAACTCCAGAAACGTCCACAGGGGTGGGAGCCAGTATCCCCCAGAACAAAGAAAGGCTATAAGGCAATCGCAGGGCCCTTCAAGCTGAGCCTTTCCCACTTCCGCCAGCACTGCCCACCGGACTGTCACATAGACTGGGGAGGACTTGGGCTGCACCACTGTTCGCTCCGAATCCCCAGCTGTGTCTCCCTGGAAAGCCGCACAAAGGTTTGTTACATCTTCTCCCAGGACAAAAAGCAACTCATGCTGCCCAGCTTTCCCAGAGAATTCTAGCTCCGGGCAGAGCATGGTGGCTTTCTGCCCTGGCTTGTCTGGACAGCAAACTAAGGGAGAGAGAAAAAACACAAATCCATCCTCCAGCAGGGCAACTGTTGTATGCCTACTTCCCCCACCCCACACAGACACTTCCTTTTATGCCAGCAGGATAACGTGACATATCCTTTGCTTTTAAAAATACAACTCTCAATAATATGCTGTGGACAGCTTTCGGGGGCATTGCTGCTTCTGAGAGATTGGTTGGTTCACAAGGCAAGTCATTGTAAGAGCGGCATCAGTAATCATTCATGAATTCACCTCCCAAGTTCAAACTTCATCAACACGTTTTGTGCTCATTGCAAAGAATATGCTGAGTTTAATTTTTAACACAAGGATTGTGGCCTGGTCCGATACATAATTGTTTACCAGCTGATCAGCTCTGCGCTGTGTCTTTGGATAGAATTGGTAGGAAGTCCGGCTACAGACAGGGGACAGAACATGTGGTGTGAGGTAACATTTATGGCTTCTCAGGGATAGAAGGCCTCTGCCTGCATGACCCGCCACTTCACCAAGACAGCCCCTGGGCCCATTTCTCCCTGTGTGTCTCCCCAGACTCAGTCATTCCTACGCAGGCTGGGCGTGGAGCCCACCTTCCTGAAGGCTCCGACTCTACCATTTGGAGCTGTTTCTAAGGGGGTATTGGATGGGGATTGAACACAGGGTTGCTGTACCAATGAACTCCATTCCCAGCCCTTTTTAGTTATTTTGAGACAGTATCTTACTTAATCCCTTAGGTTGACCTCAAACCTGCAGTTCTCCTGCCTCAGCCTCCCAAGTTTCTGGGATGACAGGCGTGTGCCACCATGCCTGGCTACCTGGAGGTCCGGTTACCCTGCAGAGAGGTGGAGGCGCTGTCTCTTCTCCTCCAGCTCCCCTCACCTTCCTGAACGGTTCCTTCTTCCCTTGACTGCCACCTTCGAGGACACAGAACTCTCCAAGGCAAACACACTCTCCCGCCTGCATCCTAACGAGTCTCCCCTTACCTCCAGGAATCCCTGCTCACACAGGCTAAGGCTGAGGTCCTGTCTGCCCCCACAAATGGGCTGCTTCTCCACAGTCTGGAAGGAAAAGCCCCTTCCCAGCGTGACTCACAGATGTAAGGTGCTCAGAAATCCCAAGTGACCGCACAGACAGAAAGAGAAACTGCTTCTGAAGCGTTCGAGACAAACTTACGGACACTGAGTCCTGAAAGGCTGCCATTTAGTCATCCTCTGGGGATATTTTGGTGTGGGGGACACCTCTCTTCTGACCTCCTGGGACCTGCAGGTCTCTTCAGTCCTTTGCCTTGACCTCTCCTACCTGAGCCCCTGAGTCCCAGACGGAGCTGACGAGTCCTCCAGGCGGGGGCTCTTGGGTCTCTCCACAGCTTGCGCCTGTCACGATGAAGCGTCTTGGGTGTGGATGTTGAGATATGGGCATAAGCGGCTTCCGTCCGCGCAGCGGGATCTCCGCGGTGGTTCTGCTGGGCTCACTGCACCTGTGCCCTGGGCTGTTTCAGTGGCACTTCCGAGTATAGAACTGGGAAGCAGGAAGTGGGGGGTTACGAGCCTCCTGTCCTTTCACTAGTGCCCCAGGGTTGTGCACGTGTACGGAATCTGTCTTTGGGGCTCAGGAAAGAAGGGGATAATGTTAACGACAAGTCTGCTGTGCATTGCGCTCTTCTACCACAATTCTTGGGGGGTGGGTACTGGGGATTGAACCCAGGGCCAGCACCAGCCCTGTTTTATCTTCAAACACGATCCCCTCTTGCCTCAGGCTCCCAGGGGTCTGGGATACCGGGCATGCACCACCAGGCCTGGCTGGATGGGGCCTCTTAAGGCCTGGGCAGGTGTCTGGCTCCACACCTTTGGTGCAAGGCATGTCCGGCCACTGGGAGGAGCTCTGTGAGCCTCAGAGGAGCAGCTCCTTAGCATGTGGCTGCTGCTGCACCATTCTTTATAGGCCCTGTGGGAAGCCTGGAGATGTAAATCCTGTCCAGGGAGCCAGGTTCTCATGGAAGAGATGGGCAGTAAGGAACTAGACCAGCAAGCATGTAGGGTGAGCAATTCGTGCCGAGTCCTGTCAGGCGAGCAGCGGGTGTGGTGAACAGGAATGTGAAGAGGGGGGCGGGGAGCCTCTGCCCACAGTGACAGTTGAACCGGGAACAGGAGCAGGGGAAAGAGTTGGCCATGATTCACTCTAGAAAGAGGGCATTTTGGACAGAAAGCATGTGCATATGCAAAGGCCCTGAGGCAGAAATACAACAACAACAAAAAAGCTAAGACATCTATAGGAGGTCAAGGTGGCCAAAGCATAATAAGAAAGGCTGCTATGGTGAGAGATGGTCACTCTTCAGGGAACAAGAGCCTGCAGCAGGGCATCCATGATCCCAGCCCCTGCCCTGTCTATGGCAACCTGGGGGTGGGGTTGGGCCTCCTCTGCAGTGATAAGGATGGCCATCCAAGGCCCCAGATTTCTGAAGAACAGACTTACTTCCCCATGGTCTCTCCTGTCCTGCTGTTCCCATCATCCCCAGGACCCCGTGACTGGTGCCTTCCTCACTGGAGATTCCAAGAAAATCTCAGAACTCTCACTTCCGTCCTGGGACTGGGGAACCAGGAAAGGAAGGAGATTCTCACACATAGCTTTCTCCCAGGGAGTTTGCTCGTGTTCCCAGGCTGACAACTGGCAGCCCTCAGAGCTCGTCCCCCACCTCTTCCTCCTCCTCTTCTCCTTGCCTCCCTCTCTCCCCCTGCCCCCTCCTACAGCTTAATGACTTCCACATGGGCCTCTGCCGGCCGGGGCCAAGCCTCCCAGCATTGTCTGAAATCTCCAAATTTAGAAGAAATATGAAAATTGTCAACCACTCCTTCCTTAGGGGGTAAAAGCAACATTCGGCACTAGGGGCAGGTCAAGGCGAGGTGGTCACGTGCTGGGCTCCCTGGCCAATGGGGGACCCCGGGAGGACTCTGCACCCGCCTCTTCCCAGCATCAGGCTCGCCTCTTCAGCTCTTATAAGGTAAAAGGCAGAGCAGCCTCTATGGCCAGGGAGCCACGGGCAAGGGGCTAACGGGAGGGGGTCCAGTGCTAGTCGCTTAAAAATGCCCCCGTGGCAGTGAGGGGTGTCAGAGGCTGGGTCACGTTAATTGCGAAGCGGTGACACCTCCAACCCCTTCCCACACAGGTGGGCCCCATCGTCAGGGCCAAGGAGCCACACCTGGACCAGACGCCGGGCGAGGTAAGCATGAGCCAGGACACGGGGTGCGAACAGGGTTTTGCGTCCTCCTCCCCAGGAGGTTGCATTTGGAGGTCTTGTCCTTGCTTTTGTGCTAACCGCTCTGAGCCTTCTGCCTCTCTGGGCCTCAGTTTCCCTGTCTGGACAGGTTTGGATTCGACGATCTCTAAGCGTTTGTCCAGGCTGATGGGCTCTGATCCACGGTTCTGTTGCCTCTAAGGTCTCTGTGTTGCTGCAGTAACTTGGGGATGGGAACAAAGGGGGTGGTCGGAGTCAATGCCCAAGCTTGCCCTCTGTGCCCAAGTCTGGAATCTATGTGCTCTCCCTTCCTGTGTGGTTGTGATTTAAGTTCTAAGAGCTTGGGCCTCCTGATAAGGAAAATAAGTTCAAATAATAGCTTTGAGAAACATAGCTGGAGGGAAATGATGTGAGCGTGGGCTTTCGCAGGGAGGCAGAGAGCAAGGAAGGGGCTGCGTTAGCTGTGTGTGGAGCCTGGGCCTGGGCTCCAGCCCAGCTCCGCTCCTGCTGCCTGGCTCTGTGGCCCTGGTGGTCACTGTCCCTCCGGGGTCTCCCCATCTGTATAAGGAAGTCTCTACACAGGATGCGGCTTCTGAGCCAGTTGAGCCTACCAGCAGCCAGTGCCCCTGACCTGAGGCCAACGATCTTGAGCTGAACCTGATAGTGGGCTCGGAGCCTGAGCAGATGCCCGAAGCCCCAGGAGCTTTTGGAGACCAAGTGTAAAGTGCAGGAAAGTGGCTGCCCGAGGCCACGGGGCTGACTTCGCCAGGACTCAGCTGGGTGGGCAAGGGCGGAACTCTGCATTCGGACACACACCGGTGCCGGACCGGGGGCAGGAAGGGGTAGAGCAACTGCAGGGCTCTCAGGAGGTGAGGTGTAGGTCTGAACCCCACAGAGAGAGGCAGGAGGTGGACGGGCACCAGGGGTCCTTTCTGCCTGGGCTCAGGGTGAGGATTCAGACACGCTCAGGCAGCATTCACACCTCCTCTGAACACACGCCCGCCACATGCAGGCCCGGGACAGAGCACAGTTCTCCAGGGCCAGGCTGTCTAGGGCCTTTACCATCTTGCTTCTGGGCACACAAAGCTCAACACTTTAATAACCCGAAAGCGGCCCTGGAATCCAGCCGACGGGGCCCATGCTAGCTTGTTCACTTACCAGCAGAGTGGCCCTGGGCAAATCAACTGCCATCTGAGCCTCAGTTCCTCCTCTAGAACGGGTACAGCCCTGGCTCTAACCTCCTGTGGCTGGCATGCGGAGCGAGGGGCATGTTCCCCTAGGAGCAGGGGCTGCAGTGACGACAGGACCAAGATGACAGTGGTCACGTTAGAGAGAAGGACAAATGAGACTGAGGTATAGAACACGGGCCCCTGAGGGAGGTCCAGCTCTGGCAGGAAGAGGCAAGGTGAATCTGGAAGCGGAGGTGAGGGGTGAAGGGCAGTCAATACGAAACCTTAAGAGCCATTTGTGACCCCATCCCTGCACGCACAAGCCATGTGGACCAGGCGTCTCCAGGGCATGGGGGCCGAGCACTGCACACTCATGGGCAGGGACCCCAGGCAGGGCCCAGGAATCTGCAGGCCAGGCCCCAGGACCTTTCCTGGCTTGGCTCACGGGGAGTTCTGGGAGTTCTGGGATGTAGAGCATCCTAGGACCCTCCGAGATGCAAGGCAGCTGAAGCACCCAAGAGGATGAATGGCTGTAGGTTCCATAGTGAACAGAACCTGCATCTCTGCCCTGCCAGGGGCTCTTAGAGATGGTACAATTAGGGAGAAATGTATTGCGTTCATTTGCATAGCAGAGGAGATCCCTGAGCTAACCAGTGTCTCTTTATGAACTAATTAATTTATCCTCACAAGACCTTGTGAGTAGGTACAAGCATCCCTATTGCTCAGGTAAGGTACTGGAGGCACAGAGACATTAAGTAGTTTGGCTAAGATCACACAGCTCATGACTTGTTAAGTTTAGACACTGTGTGTGCAGGCTGCTGTCTCCCCCAGGAGTCTCCAGCCTCCTGCCCTGCCCCTCACCCACCCTGCAATTTGAAGGAATCTTCAATGTGCCTAGGAGAAGGGGACAAAATATGGATGGGAAACTTCTCGGGATCCAGGTACTGGGCTGAACCATTTGCATTATCATTAGAAACTCTCGGGTTTATTAAGAGGAAGGAGTCAGCGTGAGCGCATCATGCCCAGTGTACGAAGAAGGAAACCATTACAGGTCACCCACCACAGGTCACACAACTCAAATGTAGCAAGGGTGTTTGACCTCATCCTGGAGCCCTAACTCACACGCCCTTCTCCTGCCTGCTCTGGATGTGCGGGCGGGCTCAGTGATAAGGAGGCCCACCTCACCCTCACGAGGAGACTGAGTCAGATTGGGCCACCCTGGGCTTGACCAAGCCTCTTGCTCTGAGGTCACCTGGTCTGCTGCCCAGCAGTCCCTAAGGCCACACAGAGGCCCTGAGGACAGAAGCAGCCTTTTCCTGCTGGGTCATTTCTGGGAAAGAGCAGATCAAACACACAAAGTCTTGAGGAATGGAAAGGTCTAGCCTGAGCTGCCACTGCCCTATACCCCAGGGACTCCCCCGGCCCCGAGATGGTCTCTGAGGTCCTCACCCTGGGCTATGCTAGACTCTGCCTCCTCCTGCCATTGTCCAGTAGAACAGTCCGTCAGCTCAGGGCCTCCGGTGGTTCAAAGATCCATTATGAAGGAGTTTCTGCATTGTGTCCATTTTTGTGTTCGTCTCCACAGAAGCCACATTTTCTGGGCTTTGTACCCAAAAGGGGTCACTGGGTGTATGCAGGAAACTACGTGATTATTTTCCACGTGGCCAAGTGGACATCGTCTCACTCTCCGGCAGTAGATGGTGTTCCCTTCTTCCTGACCACACTGGAAAGGATCAGCATTCTTGACGCATGTGTGCCACCCACTCTATTTCATGTGACACATTTCTCTAATAAGTGCTGTAAAGGAGGGGGCTGCAGGTATAGCTCAGTGGTGGAGCACTTACCTAGGATAAGCCAGCCTCTAGGTTACATCCCTAGCACCCACCCCCTAAAACGAAGGAAGAAATGGAAATAAAATGCATGTGTGTGTTTGGCAAGACGCTATGCTCCTGTCCATGTGGGCATCTAGAAATCAACCTTCCGTGTGCTGAGTGACTAAGCACCTGAATCACAGACACTTGGCAGGCCCTGGGGTGGAGTGAGCCCTACCCACATCAGCCCCCAGCCCAGCAGTACACAGTCTCCACAGTTCAATCAGAGCTGCCTGAGGCAGTGAGCTGCAGGAGTCGGGGAGAGAGCCCACCGTGGCTGCCACTGCCACCGCAGCTAACAGCCTGTCTAGACAGGCCCCATGGGGTCATCAGTCTGGCCTCACCACACATCTTGGGAGCCTTGGACAGCCGCTCCCTGCTTGCAAAAGAGGCTCATGGGCAGCAGCGCTTCCCCACCAGAAGACTTTCCCCAGTTCAGAATGCACCCCATTTTGCAGCCAGACACCCACTCTCTCAGCCTGCGAGCTGAACCTCTTCAAGCTCTGCTTTTGTTAGCCACGGAGGGAGACAAGGCTGAGTTGAGAGCCAGGCTCTCTCTGCCTGAGTCTTGAGGTGAAGGGAGCACAAGGACATGTGACCGTGCTGAGAGTGAGACTAAGGCACAGTAGGCTAAAGGTGCCAGTCGGGGGCCTGAGCGGAGTCCTGCATGTGCCTCGCAGCAGCTGTGGAACCTTGGGCATCCTACAGAGACCCTCTGTGCCTCAGCTGCCTCAGCTGTGAAACAGGGTGTTGTTAGGGTGGGCCAAGTCCACTTGGAGCCTCATCAGCCTCGAATGACCTTTATCACCTGCCCCCAACCTGTCAGAGACTTGAAGAATTGGGCTAGACCAAAACTGGGGACAACTCTTGGCCCCGCCCCAAGAGTACCACCCAGCTGCAGACCTAGACCCCTAGACTTCAGAGACCGTTCTTTGGATCCAAGCTGTGCTTCAGGGAGGTAAAGACGCTCCAACCTGGAAAGCACACTGGACCCACAGGCTTAATAGGGACACTGCCCATCTGCCACTAACTTCGCCCTCATCTCTTCCTCCGCTCCCGATGGAGGCTCAAGCCAGGCTCCAGAAGGGGGCTGCTGGCCTCACAGTGGCAGCCACAGTGACCATGGCACCACCCTAAACTGTGCTGCCAGGCTCAGATGCCTCTGGTCAGCACTCTCAGAGCCGGCCAGACCTGAAACACATGACCAGCAACCCTGAGATTCTGAGGGCAGACACTGAGATAAATGAACAAGATGGGGAAAAAGAAAGAGACAGCTGACTCCTGGTCCTCTGAGACTTGAGGAAGTGCCCCCCAAAGCCCTTTAGGCCTGAGGCTCACCGTTCGGGATGGAAGGGGATAGCTCAGGTCATGCCATGTGTGCTGGTGGATGCCAAGACTTCCCGAGGGGCTAACAAGGCTGTGGGTGGAGGCAGTGAAGGCAGCAGCACACCCTAGACAGATGGCAAGGAGCACAGCCAGGTGGACAGCCCAGAAAGCAAAGCTGGAGAGGGAAGACGGCAAAGACACTTGCTGGAGAGCTGTGCAGAAGCCCATTGGCTGGAACCCAGGCTTGGCCTTAAATTCAGAGGCTGACGAGATACTAAAGGCCTGGAAAGCAGGGCCTCAGAAGCTGGGCAAAGCCAAATCTGGTGGTGCATGCCTGCAGTCCCAGCACTCTGGGAGGCTGAGGCAGGAGGACTAAGAGTTCAAGCACAGGGCCGGGATTTAGCTCAGTGGTTCTGCCGCTTGCTTCACAAGCGCAAGGTCCCAAGTTCGATCCCCAGGTACAAAAAAAAAAAAAAAAAAAAAAAAAAAAAAAAAAAAAAAAAAAAAAAAAAAAAAAAAAAAAAAAAAAAAAAAAAAAAAAAAAAAAAAAAAAAATCAAGCACAGCCTGGACAACATAACAAATTGAGGCCTGATCTCAAAAATAAAAATACAGTGGGTTGAGGATGTAGCTCAAATGCCTGGGTTCAGTCTCCAGTACCTCGAAGAAGGAAGAGGAGGAGGTGAAGGAGAAAGAAGAGGAAGAGGAAGGAGTTGTGGAAAGTTGTCTTTGATATCTTTCAGTCCCTTCCTTTCCCCAAAACTCCCCTCAGCCAAAGCTCCATGCAGGATAGTTCCAGGAATCTGGACATCAAGTAATTCTCAGGTGGACGTCAAACAACGGGTAAAGGAGACCACGCGGTTAGGAGAGGTAGGAGACCCGAGAGCTACAGACGCCAGCTTCCAACCTCTCAGAGCCTTCTGAGGAAGGTCAAAACCCCGGAACAGAGGCGGGAGGACCCAGAGAGGCACAAAGCAGCTGGGTATCAGGAAGGAGTCTCCAATAGGGACGGGGAGGGGAGGCAGAGTAAGGTGATTTGGAAGGGGCGAGCTCCCTGCCACAAAAAGTGTGTGAGGTTGGTAGGGAAGCCGTAGAGAGGGGCAGGCGTCAGCGGCTGTGTGGCCTTTCCCGTCACCCGCCTGCAGCTTCATACGCCAGATGCAGCTGCTGTGGGACCGTAAGGGTACTAAACTCCCCGCGGCCTGCATGTCAGACTCCAGCCAGATGTGGGGCGTCAGTGCTGCCCTGACTTTGCCCAGGGACCTCTTGGGGGCTCTACCTCCCACTTCCTTTCACCCCACTGCTGCCTAATGCCCTTCCCGGGAGACCTGGAGTCTGACCGCGAGGCAGGAGTCCCAGGGGTCCATTCAGTCACCGGCCTCCGGCCCTGCAGCAGTGAGTCTGAGCGGGCTGAGTTCCCTGGAGCCCCATTCACACGCTCCAGAGAGTCTGCCTGGACATTCCAGGAGGGTCACTGGGCAGCTTCTAATTTAGAACCGAGATGCTTCACACACACACACACACACACACACACACACACCCCTGCATCCTTTCCCCCAGAAGTGGGCGGGGTGTCACAGGAGCCTAGAAAAAGACAGTAGCTCTCCTGGATGGATGAGTCACAGAAGACACAGCACAGAGACTAGGGGTGCAGTGCTGATCGGGGCGTCCTCCTTCCGGGGCCCAGGGATGTGGACAGTCATGGGAGACAGGACAAGGTGCAAGCCAGGCCTGGTAAGGGTGCCAGGGAGGTGGCTGTGAGCACTGAGCAGACGAGCAGGCAGCCCTGTGGCCTGCATTGCCTGGGGCCAGCTTCAAGCCAGGCTCAGAAAGTGAGCCAGGGGTCTTAGAATAGAGGCAGAAGGGTCACGGGGAAGGGGATTCGGGGAGTCCCTGCCTCGCGCTGGCTGTAAAGCTACAGTGACCTGCTGTCCCCATGACATTCACAGTGGGGACCTGGTGGAAGCTTAAACGTTCCAGGGATTCATCCTAAACCCATAGCACCTTAGTTCTTCCTGAGCTCAAAGGGCCTCAGAGTGCATTGAGCCTCTGTCCCCACGTCGCACATGAGAAACTGAGCCCCAGCAGTGGGCAGAACCTTGCCCAAGACTTCCCTGTCAGTGTCCTCTGCTGCTTCTCTGCCTTCTAGGCTGGTGGTGCGCTCCTCACCACTGAGGGCGACGCACAGATGAGCGGCGGTGCCAGCCAGGCCCTGGCCCCATGAGGAGTCGGAAGGTGGCAGCCTGTCTTGAGCTCCAGCTGCGCTGCCCACGGAGCCCGTTACGTGGCCAGAGACAATCCCCATGCTGTTGGCAGCAGCAGATGGGAGGCCTCCCATGGAGCAGAGAGGGCTGGGACCCGAGGCCCTGGGTTCTATCCTTGGCTCAGCCTCAACTCTCCAGGTGACCTTGAACATGACCTCTGACCTCAGTGTGTGGAACGAGGGGCGGGGCCAAAGCAGCTAGAGAAGCTGAGAATTTGATCCACAGTCTGTCTCCAGTGCCTTGTTGGGCCTTCTTTGTATCTGTCTCCAACATTTTAGATTTTACTTACCTGGCTTGGCCCAGGAAGAGAACATCTGCCTGTGCATTCTAAGCCCGAGCTTCACTTTCCAGCTATAAATTCCCAGAGAGAGGAAAACCGGGGCAACCTTTTGAGATCACCCCAGTGAGAGAAGCTGAGATAAGAGAGGGTCAGCACATGGCTCCGGGTCACACACCAAGTTATGCCCTGACTGGAAGTTGATCTTGGGTCTCCTGATACCCACGTCACTGACCACACTCCTCCAGAACAGTCGACCCAAGAGCCACTCACAAGCAGACCCAGTCACTGATTTACTTTGATGGGTCAATATCCTGTGCAGGGAGCCTATAATCTCTCTCTCTCTCTCTCTCTCTCTCTCTCTCTCTCTCTCTCTCTCTCTCTCTCTCTCTTTCTCTCTCTTTCTCTCTTTCTCTCTCCATCTGGGACTCAGTTTCCTCTGCCCCAGATATCTACGAGCTCCTCTTCCCCAGCGCCAGGGATCCACCGGGACCACAGGGCTTCCCTGGGCGGCCCCTGCTGCCTCGGCCTCGGCCTGCTCTCCACGGACAGTAGAGGACCCTGGCCAGGAAATCCCACCCAGTCCCACCCCAGACCCCAAGGCTGGGCCTCAACCAGAATTACAGGCCCCAGCCGGGCTCCCCTCTGAGAATCTGGATTTTTCTTACCATAAAAGGGCAAGTGTGTCTCCCCTGCTCCCTGCTGCCAGCACTGCTGGGGGAAAGGCTAAGCTATTTTTAGAAAACTCAAGGGTTTGCTCTGAACTCAAGATGAAGCTGGCCTGAGCCTGCACCCTGAGCCCCTCCCCGTCCCTCCTCCTCCTCTTCCCGCCGTCCCTCTCTGGCCCTGGCTGCCCTGCTCTCCAGCTTGCTCCAGCCGGCTCTGCCATGTGCTCTCCCTGCCCTGCACCTCCCCTCTCTTTCCTCTCTTCCTCCCCGTTTTCTTCTCCTCAAATCTTTTCACGGTCAGCCTCCCTCCCCACGGCCCTCCCTCAGATCCCCCTTCTGGTGGTTGGAGAAAGTAACACATCTGCACCCCCATCCGCTTCTCAAACGCTATTTACAACATAAATTCCAAACATCCGCCATCTGGTTCTAGGAAGGGCCAAAAGTTATTTGGAGAAGGAAGTCACGATTATTCCATCTTCAAAGCCAAAAGAACTTAAAGGCCTCTTCTCTCCCACCTTCCTGGGGTGGGAGGTGGGGGGTCTCAGCGAACGTCTGACCCATTAGGATCCCTCAGTGAGTAGAGGGGGTCAGGACATCTACTGGAGAGCCAGCTGCACCTCTGACTGCATGCACCCCTGGGAACTTATTGTGTCTCCCCTTCATGCCTCAGTTTCCTCAGTGAACGATGGGTGTGAGCCTAGGATGCTTCTGGTACTAGTGCTCTAACACTCCACGTCCTGGTGCAGAAATTTCACCTGGTCCTGGTCACTGGGCGGGTCCCAGCTTTGAACTGAGCAGTGAGGAGTGGGATGAGGGCGGGATCTGACCTGAACGCCCTGCGAGGTCCAGTCCTCTCCCGACATATCGCGCGCGCACGCGCGCACGCGCAGACCCCGAAGCCCAGGGAGGGCAAGGCCTTTGTCCACGGTCACACGGTGTACGTATCTGCAGACCTGGTGCCCGGCCTGCTTCCCCTCTCACCCAACACATTCCAGAAGAAACCAAGATTTGAGTTACCCGGAAAGTCTCACCAATCGCAGCAAAGCCCCCCAAACCGAGCTCCCTGCTCTCGGCAAAGCAGACAGGCCGGAAGGCAAGACTCACACCTTTATCGTGGTGGTAGCTTTTGGTTTGTTGTTTTCTATCAAATGGGCAACAGGTAAGGGAAAGATACAAGGGCACAGGCAGAAGAGCAACCAAAATAAGAAGCCCCCTTAATTCTATTGACACGCAGCCCTTGCCAGGGCCCAGCAGGCTTCTGCTTAGACGAAAAATGCTTTCTCTCTTCACAACCCCTCTCCATGAAGGCAAACACACACACACCTGAAAAACGCCAGGAGACACTGACTCAGGCTATCACTCTGAAATGACGCCATGTTCCCAGCACACTGGCACTCACCTGTAACCACGGCCACTCAGGAGGCCAAGGCAGGGGTACTGCAAGTTCAGGGCCAGCCTGGGTGACATAGTGAGATACTATCTCAAAACAAAATTTTAAGAAGGTGCTTGGGATATAGCTCAGTGGCAGAGTGCTTACCTGGCTTGTACAAGGCCCTGGCTTCTATTCCAATACCATAAAAAAAAATTAAAAATAAAAATAATCTATAAATAATCTGGGCCCCCTGGGCGAGCCAGGAAGGCTTTTGGGCTGCCTGGAACCAATCTGACACTTACTAGCTGTGTGGTCCGGAGTTAGTGCTCTGAGAGTCTTGGTTTCCTCATCTGTGAGATGAGGGTGGAGTGGTACCTAAACCCATACACGATTATGCGTGAGGCAGAGAAACCACGGCAGGAGGTGGTGCATCCAGAGTTCCCCTTCTGTGATAGTGGTGGCTGTGATTAGGGTGGGTCCCGAGGTGCCCGTACAGAGGAAGCCAGCTTGGGAATAGTCCTCGCCAGCCTTTGCTCTCAAGGTGACAGGGACTGCGGGAACACTTGCCTCTAGATCCCTCCTGGGACACCTCCCGGGCTGAGCTCCTGGGACACAGCCTGGGGCGGGGTCTAGGCCAGCCACACCGCTCCCCACTCCCCCTCTTCTTTCCGTTTCTTCCCTTTTCCCTGCTCACTGCATTCAACCTCAGAACGCACTCCCAGGGTTCGCTGCACACCAGAGCGCCCTTCCCTGGGGAGGAAGTGGGGAGCGTGTGGGGCTGCTGAACTCACGCTCTGGGAACAGAGGCCCAGTGAGGCTGTGTGCACAGGGGACCGGAGGAGGGGCCCAGGCGGCAGCCCGCAGACAATTTCCACATCTGGTCCCGAACCTCCACAGGCCTTCGCCTCAGCCTCCTTGCTACTCTTCCCACCCCTACCCTATGGGTGCCGATAAGAGGCACTGCGGCCGTTTGTTTTGGGCTTACTTATTTCATGCTTCAGGTTGTTTGCCCTTGGTGTCCACCTCATTTGGCTTTCACAGACAAGGCCCGGAAAAGTGAAGACCCTGGTCCTAGATCACACAGCCAGTAAATACTAGAGGCGAGGGCAGGGCATGTTTTCTTCATTCTTACCCAATCTGTGATGGGAACTGGCCCTGGAGGCCAAACCAGAGGCTGCGGAGCTCACACATACGTGGAGTGGAGGCCAGGGTGCTGTCCAGGCAGCCCCGAGAGGTGACCAGGTGTGAGCGCTGGCCGTGGGCTTGCTCAGAGCCCTGGCCTCCGTCCTCCCTCACTGTGGGCCTTCTGGTCACAGATGTGGCCCATTGCTTTCCCTCGTGTTTCTTGGAAACAAGTAAGGACAGAAGAGCCTACCAGGCTTTTGCAGTGACCATTGTGAGCGTTGCTTCAGGGTCGCCCGGCCAACTGAGCATGCAGAGTCTGGGTCCCAGTCTGCTCCTGACACTTCTCGGCAGGTGATCCCACCTGGGAGAGGCAATCACCCAGCCTCTCTGGCCCTGAGGGTGCTCAGGTGACAGTTCCCCAGACCTCTGGGGATTGGTGTGCAGCTGGAAGGGGTCTTGGGTGGTTATCATCACCTGGTTACCCAGGTTTCGTCTACCCCAAGTGGCTCCTTTCTTATGTTTAAGGCTGGAGGGGGGAAATTTCATGCCAGACCAGTTCTTTAGCCAGAAGCTTCTGCTGCTCTTGGATCTAGAGTTTCTCTGAAGACCCCCTTGAGAGCCAGGCTGGTACAGCAGTGACACTGGCTGCCCTATTGGAAAGGTCTGCTTCCACGGGGGCTGGAAATTCTTGGGGAGTTCTGGGCCCACAGTGGCCAGGCCCCTCAGTCTCTCCAAACCTGGCAGCCACATCAGGGTCCTCAGAGGCCAGGGCCCTGGCCACAGAGCAGCCCAGCATCCCTCTGATGGGCGGGATCTCTGTTCCTTGCAGGGAAGGGCACCGGCGGGTGTTGGAGGAGAAGCCCAGAGCAGGAACCAACCGGGGAGCAGGTGGCAGGCAGCAGAACTGTGAGTGTCTCTCAGCTCCTCCACACACGGTGTTGCAGGCAGCTCCTGGAGTATCTGGGACCATGGGGACAAACCCCCCACGCTGACCCTCTCCAGGCCTCAGAACAGTGAGGAAAAGGAAGGCCCAGGTTGAATGGCGGCATTGTGTGCAATTCTGGGCCTTTGTGTTCTGAGCAATGGAACCAAAGAAGGGAGAACTGATCAGGAGCTGAAAATCTATCCACCCGCCTCTCCCGATGAAATAGCCGTGCAAGTGTGTGATTTGATGAGTGAGCGGCTGAGGGAAGATGTCAGGAACAGTAGCAGTCTTCCCCGAAGAGAGTGAAGAGCACCAGACCCAGAGACAGGAGGCCCTGGGACAAATCACAGCCGCTCTGAGCCCGCTGGTAACCAACGGGCCACTGGGGCTTTGGAAGGGCTCCCAAAGTCGGGCTGTGTCCTAGGTGTGCTGCAAAGCTCAAGAAAGAGCAGCAGTTGTTTTTGTCGCCCATTTTTCTCACGCTTGCTGATTATTACAGGCGCCTTCATGCTCCTGGTAGAGGGCAGGATGAGGCACTGGCCCCATTACGACAACAGGGGAAACTGAGGCCTGGCGAGTGAAGGAACTTCAGAGTCACGGGGATAGGCAGTGGCAGAGGGGCATTCTGGTGCCAGTTCTCACGTAGCTGGAAAAAAGGAAGAAGGGGCTGGAGGTGAACGGAGGGAAGATGGAGGGACAGACTCCAGCAGGGAGGTGGGACAAGGCCCAGGCCTGCCTTATATAACGCGGCCCACCTGTTCGCCCCGGCACACACCACACGTGTGTGCAAACGTGCCCCCCAGTCCTTGCTCACCAGCGAATGAGCCACAGAGACTGGGTCTAAACAAATTGGATTAGAAAGGCTGCTGCGGGCGCCTCCTTCTGCTCCTGTCCGGCTCCGACACCAAGCAGGCTGCGGAGAGGCCAGCTGCACAATCCCCGCCACACTGACAATCGTCCTGGCCCCCAGGCCCCAGCCCTGAGCCCCAGGAAGGGGACGGGGTCTGAGAGGATGCCACAGTGATGGATGGAGTGAGGGAGGCTCCGGGCCGCCTCCAGGACGCACAGGATGTTAGTGCTTGTGTGAGGCCACTTCCGAGTGTTCCCAGCCCACCCCGCCGCCCGCTCCTCCCCCTTCTCCAGCCTCTCCTGCAGTCACCACTGCCTGTCTAGGACTTGGCCCTGCCGCTATACCCATCCCTGGCTCCATGTTCTCACAGCTGGGCTGAGCCGGAAGTGGGCAGCTCAGGAGACATCAGCCTGGGGAGAGCACCAGGTGGCACTTCAGAGTAAGGAAACTGGGCAGCAGAGCGAGGCCACCTGAAGGTGGCATCTAGTGCTCTCATGTGCATTGTTGGGTTCAACCCTCAAAATGTGCCCGGGAGTAGGAGACTGCCATGGAACCAGTGTGACCGCTGGAGTTTCTTCATCACAACACCTTTTCCTGAGCCCTGAGACTGTGCCGGGCCAGGTGACAGCTGAGGACAGAGACGAAAGACCCATTGTCCTATCTTCTGTTGCTCTAGGAATCACTCTCTGGGGACTGGAGCTTGGGCACTGGGGCTCCCCTGGCTTTTGCAGGCACGGTCCCACAGAGATCGGATATTTCCACCCAGGGCAGCTGCAGCAAGAACCCGGCCCTGATGTCAGGCAGCCCCCAGTTCCCATCCTGTCCCACTCCCTTCCCGGCTGGATCGCTGTGGTCAAATGACTTAGCATCTCCACGCGTGTTTCGCCTTCTCCAAAGCAGGACTGCAAAAGCTCCCGCTTCATAGGGACAACAGGATGAACTGCCATTGTCTGCACTCGCCTGGAGGCTCAGCCGGGGTCACAGCAGGAGCTAGGAGCTGGGTCAGAAGCGGGTGGGCCCCTCACCTGCCGTTCCTCTTCCCCATCCAGTCCATGGTCCAAGCAGTCAGGGGCCAGGACAGCTAAAGGTTGGCGCAGGCGGTTTCCCTGTCACATCCTGGTCCTGCCCCAGCCCCACAGCAGGAGAGCCCAGGTGACCAGCAGGGGCCCCCAACCCTCTGGGTGGCAGCAGAGGTGGGGCGCGCAGAGGGCTCCCAGCCCGGAGCAGCCTGCCATATAAGGGAAGGAGCCCAGGAGCCTCCTCACCCTGGCCTGGAGAGAAACCCCAGACAGCCACTGTTTATTTCTCCTTCCCAGCCTCCTCTTCACCCTCCCCTCCAGCGCTTCCAGACAGAAGACAGAGGATCCCCGGCTGGCTGGCGACATCTCCTGAAGACAGGGCGAGAGGGGGGGAAATGGCCGTCCCCCGGGGTCAGGCTCCCGGGCTGCCAAAAGCCCTCCCTGAACCTCCAGGTAAAAGGCCCACCTGGCTCAGCCTCCTCCTATCACAGAAGGGGAAGCAGAGACCCCAAGGGGAAAGTGACCTGCTAAGATAACAGTGCCAACTGCCGACGGGATCCTGGGACCCGACGGACCAGCTGTCTCATCTCCTGACTGGGGGTCCAGAGCATGCAAGAGTCTTCGTGGGGTAAGTGCAGCGGGAGCACCATGGCCCCCTGCTCAGAGAGGCCCTCACTGGAAGGAGGCAGGGGGTGGGGCAAGTGCCATCGGCCCCCCCAGCAAGAGTGCGTGACCCAAATGAAGTGTTCCCGGGCCCAGGGAGCCAGGAGCAGCCCACCCTCCCACGTCTCTCCTTCCGCCCTGCCAGCTGCATGCACACATCCTTGTCCAAAAAGCCTCCCAGCTCCCCCAAGGACAAGACCTCTTTGTCTTCCAAGCCTCTGTCGTCCTTTCATGGCCTCTCCTTGTCCTGCTTGGGTCCGTGTCCGTCATTCCCAGTTTTATTTGGTTTGCTTTGTTTGTTTGTTTGCTAGTACTGGGGATCAAACCCAGGGCTTCCACACTGAGCTATATCTGCAACTATTTTTTTATTTTTTATTTTTTGAGACAAGGTTTTGCTAAGCTGCTAAGTTGCCCAGGCAGGGTTCAAACTTGTGATTCTCCTGCCTCAATCTCTCAGAGTGCGAAGATTACAGTCATGGGACGCGGGCATTTTGCTTCTACCTCGACCTGACTATCAGGCTCGGCCCCATCTCCCTGGGCACAGAAGAGGAGCTTCATTTGCTCAGTGACCAGGTACAATTATGAGGCCCCGTCCCAAACCCAACGGTCAGGGAGGAGAGACCCAGAGCGGAGGTTGATGGAAGGGTTGCTGGACTGTTTTTTCTGAGTTGAGCAGCCCAGCACAGCTCCTTGCTCTGTGCCTTCAGAAAAGCCCCTGCTGTGCAGCCTTAGGGCTCACAGGGATCGACACAGCAAATATTCAAGAAGAGGCCTTTTGGTTCTAGTCATCACCCGTGTGTAGGCCACCGTAGTACTTTAAAATGTAAGATGAGTCCTCTGAGTACTTAAATAGAAACCGTTATTATAAAATGAAAATGGTAACACTGTCCAAAGGTAGAAATAAACACAGTGAAAGTGACACAACATGGTTAGGCTTTAACCTGACGTGTGGCTTGCAGGATCCTGAGCGGTAAGAGGGGTCAGGAAGGTGTCAGCCCAGGCAGGACGGAAAGAGAAGCGACGGAGACCACCGGAGCCACTCTGTCCCCAAGTGACTCAGTGCTGAGACCCCCAGCTCCCACACCGCAGGGGCCTGGCCCAGCACCTCCTCTGCCGGGTGCGGAGCAGGGGTGTGGCGTGGACATGTTGTCCCCTGGCCGAGAGAGTCCAGGTTAGAACTGCTCGCCAACCAGAGACAGTTTGAAAGTTTTCTTTTTTCCATCCTACCCCTCCTCCCTCTTCTTCTCCTCTTCCTCCTCCTCTTTCTTCTTCTTCTTCTTCTTCTTTTTTTTTTGGTACCGGAGATCGAACTCAGGTATCCTGCCAAGTTGCCCAGGTTAGGCTCTGATTTGCAGTCTTCTTGCCTCAGCCTCCCAGAGTGCTGGGATAACAAGAGCACAAGAGCTTTTGCAAGAGGAAGGCAGTCCTTTGGCTGAGAACACCTCTGGGAGGCAGGCTGTCCCCGCAGCAGGCCAGCAGACCTACCCCAACCAGCAGACTAGAGGAAGACTTCCCACCCCGCCCAGAGTTTGGATCGAGCCTTATGTCAGATTCCTGATGCAGGTAGGCATGGGAGACGTTTTTTCTTTGCTTTTCTTTTTTTTTTTGATACCAGGAATCCAACTCGGGACCTTGCGCTTGGAAGGCAGGTGGCAGCACCACTGGCCTGTCTTGTTTTGTTTCCATTGAGTTTATGGGTACTTTTTAGGTATATAGTACACTTACATTCATCATTGGGATCCTGTACCTTTACATGGCAGGTCTTGGTTCTCATTTTTTCCCCATTCCCCTCCCCTCCCTTCACCCCCTCCACCCTTCCCTATTTACAAAGACTTTGTTTCCATTTTTTCCTTTTCTCATATTTTTTCCTTTCCCCTACCCTTCCCACTTCCCCTACACCTTTAGCCCTTTTCTTCCTATTTCATATTATCAGTTATACAATTTGGATCTTATTTACACTTTTAGTTTTTCACACCAGAGAAACTATTCGTTATTTATTACACACGTGTCCTATTTATTTCACTTAAGAGTATGGCCTCAATGTGCATCCATTTTCCTATAAATGACTCTAGTTTCTCATGCTTTATTATTTTGTTCTTTTAAATGGTGGTGTTTTCTTTTTTCTTTCCCAGCCCTGAGGAAAGGCTACCCATCCCCTTCAGAAATCCCTGAAAGTGTAGGTCACTGGCATCCAGGCCACCACGGTTACCACCAGACAGAGCAGGAGGATCCTCGGGGACCCTGAGAGCCTGCTTGGGCAGGAAGAGTTGGCGGGGGGTGGGGTGACGGTGGTGGTGTTCCCTCCCAAGCCAGGCACAGGGAAGGAAGTGAATCAACTATGCAAAGCCATCAGCCAGATCAACAAGATGTGGAGCTCTGCACTCAGGGCACTGGAGATTTCACCAGCTTCAATCTAGGCACAAAACTCTCATTCTGGAGCGCCTGAGGCTGAGGGGCGATCCTCACTGCCTGCCCTGATTTCGGGGTGAGGCGGGTTCACCATGTCCCTTCCCTCAGGATGGGCCATCCATCCACGAAAGGTGTGGTCATAAGTTGTAAACTGCTTTGCAAGAGTGGGAAAGGTCCAGGTGCAGCGACACACACCTGTAATCCCAGCACTCTGAGAGGCTGAGGTGGATGGCTCACAAGTTCAAGCCCAACCTGGACAGCTAGAGATTCAGCAAGACCCTTATCTCGGTGAAAAAAAGAAAGAGGGAAAAAAAGAAACAGAGGTGTGGGGAAGCTAGGGATGATGTAACTTTAAAAAGGACAGGAACGGAGCAGTCACAGGAGATCACAGCAAGAGTGTGGAGCAGGGTGTCGTGAGGTGGAAACAAACCGAGAACAGCATCTCAGCGACTGAGACTGAGCACAGGAAGAAGAGAGGGCACAGGGAGCCAGGGGCTGTGAGCCTGGAGCAGCAAACGTGTGGACGGAGGCGGAGAAGAGAAGCCCGAGGGCATGGGGGCAGCTGGGGGCCTCCAAGCTCAGGGAGGGTTCAGAGCCAGTGGGAGCCCTTTGCAGAGATAGGGCCCTGTTTGCGCGTGAGGTCTCTGTTCCACTTTGAACAGCGCGTCTGGGGGTGAGGGCTCGGTGGGCACAATGCAAAGTCCCATGGTGCTGTCTGGCTGCACCAAGCATAAAAGTGGGGGCATGGGGTCCAAAAGCTAGGTCGGAACAGATGGATCTCTAGAGAGAATTTGGTCCGCCTCAGGTTAGGGTTAGCTGAGGAGGGAGGGGTTATGGGAGAGGTAGAATATTCTAAAATTGTGGCAACAGTGACTATTAAAAGCCACTGAAAGAGCAGGGAGTGTAGCTTGGTGGTTAGAACACATGCTTAGTATGCACTTGTGTGGGGCCCTGGGTTCAGACCTCAACGCTGCAAGAAACAAGCAAGCCAATTTATTTAACTGTGCACTTTCAGTGGTAGAGGCTATCGCAATGAAAGAAAAAAAGCCAGCAGGGCTGGAGAAGCAGCTCAGTGGTTTAACACTAGCTTAGTGTCCAGCTCAATCCCAGCACTGCGAGGAGGGAGAAAGAAGGAAAGGAAAGGAAGGCAGGGTTTGGTCCAGCAGGCTTCAGTGGCTGCCAAGGACGGGAGGCACAACTGGGGTCGTGACAGAAGCCTTCGCGCAGGCCTGGGGGGGGCAAGAGGAGTCCACCTCTGCACGGCCACCTTGCCAGCCGCGCGGCCCTGTCCCCCAGCCTGAGGTGCAGTGCTGCATCTCTGGTCAGTTGGGAGTCTGAGATGAAGCACTGTAGCTCGGGAAGGGAGAAGTTGTTCTGCAGCCTCGGCCTGGACATGGTAAGTGGTGCCTGGGGGCGGCTGGAAGGACAGGACATTCCCAGACTCCATGTCATCAGTGGAGTCCTGGACTCCAGATCCGGCAGAGCCGCCTGAGTCCTCTGTGCCCGGGGTCCATCCATGACAGGAGGGGCTGCACGAGTCCATAGTGGCTGTTGGCTGCTTCCTGCCTCGCTTCCTCTTTCGGGCCTTCTCTGCCCTGTGTCCCAGACAGCTGCTGTTAATGACCCAGAGCTTAAGGCATTGCCTGTGTACAGATCAGAAGGCTCCTAAACACCCTTAAGCTCCAGGGACAGAGTCCTGGGTCCGAATCAGGGTCTTTCCTCTCTGAGTTCCTCAGCTTGGCTCTTTCAGATGAGTGATGAGGAGCACGAGAGAACCACTGGGCTGCGTAGTGTTGTTCAACCCTCAGCACACCGGGGGAAGGGATGCTATGGGCCTGCTTTACAGAGGAGAAAACCAAGGCTCAGTTAAGAAACTCTGGCAAGGTCGCTTCTCGATTGTGCTGAGCTGGTCGCACCCTAATCTGTCTGCCTTCAGGCCCCTGCTCTACCCACTGCTGAGATCATGGAGTCTGGGACGGGGAACAGGAAAACATAACGAATCCCACTCTGGTCTTGTGTTTACACCTCGGATTACTGTTCCCAAAAGCAGACCCAGACACCTCCATTAACCCTCCATTAACGCAGCTGTTCCATAGGTCCTGTACTGTCCCATTTATAGGCCACAGTGCAGGGCTTGTGACTTGCTGGAGGTCATCAGAGGAAGTTGCCAACTTGGGTGTAATGGTACACGCCTGTCATGCCAGCCCTCTACAGGGCTCAGAAAAGAGGATTGAGAGTTCTAGCCCAGCCCGGGCCACTTAGTGATTTAGCAAGACCCTGTATCAAAATAAAAAATAAAAACAGGGTTAAGATCGTAGCTCAATACAAAGATCCTAGGTTCAATCCTTAGTACCAAAAATAAATAAATAAATAAAAAGGTAGATGTGCCCTGTTCACCCTCTGGCTAGTGACTCAGGGTACCCTTGAGCCAGGGCAGCTAAGCGGGTGGGGATGCAGCTGGAGACTGGGGTCCCAGATGGTTTCTGATCAGTTAGCTCATCCGGCCCCATTGGTGTCGGGGAGGGTACTTTCCAGAGCACTTGAATTCCAGTCACTGCTCTTCCCCCAGCACTGAGCTGCAGCCTGTGAGCAGCGCCCCCTGCCGGCCACTGCCCAGGCTCACAGGGACAGGGCAGGCCACTCTCCCACCTTGTCCTCACGGTCCAGTTTTCCCAGGAATCCCTTGGATGCTAAGATGGGGATTCCTGGAAATACTGTTCTTGAGGTCACGGTTTAGCAGCTGGACTCATCTCGCGCCCACCCCGACTCTGCCCCCGAGGGATGAGGGTCAAGTAGAAGGCCGGCGCTGGAGGTAAGAGGGCCTGTGAACCATGCTCTTGACCTTTAAGTTGTTTTCCTTCCCACTGTGTCCATTTCGTAACATCCCTGTGAGGCTGGATGTGGGGACTTCAGCATGTCCACTCTTGGGAAACTTGTCCCAAGCCACAATGCTGAGCAGTGGCTGAACCAGGACAGAATCCCCTCCTATTCCCCTCCATCACACCCGTTCCCTGAAGGCCTTGTAATAAGGGGCACGGTATCATAAGCACATGACTGAGAAACTAGTAAGTGCGCATGAGTTTATTTCAAACGTTTATTAAATCATTAAGCCGGGCATGGTGGTATATGACTGCAGTCCCAGCTACTCAACGCTGAGGTAGTAGGACCACAAGTTCAAGACCAGCCTAGACGACATAGCAAAGTCCTGTCTCAAAAAAAAAGGCAAAAAAAGTTTATTACATCAGCTAGGTAAACTAAAAACCATAAATCTTTGTTCAATTTGGAATGCAGCCACAGAAAAATGGAAAATTTTTCATCAGAACAGAGACAAGAAGACTTAGGACGCCCTCTTGTGGTGCTTGTACTCCTTGCAGGAACTATGGCTGCTTCATGCACCCTCTACGCAGCTGTAACATTCCAGACTCAGATTTACCCTGGGATCCCTTTGCCCCAGTAACCTGCTTAAGTCTGATCATGTCTTCCCTAAACCCAGCTAATGGGGTTGATGAGGTGCAGAGAAGTAAAGTGACCAAACCCAAGTTCACCCAGACAGCAAAAGGCAGAACTAGGACTGGTTTCAAATTCAATGGTCTTTGCCAATCTCTTAGCCAAAAGGAAAACCTGTGTAAATTAAAAATAAAGACTGCCTGTGGGTAATGCTAACTGGTTGAATGCCAGGAGCCCTGAAGGGGCCCAGGTGTGTAACTAGGACTTTCCCCGATCTCTTCCTGGTGCTTTTCATGGAGTCACCGAAGGTGGTGACTGCCCCCCAAGGGGCCTCATTTTCAGCTGTGACCCCTACATTCCCAGGAACCAGGTGGCTTCCCGGGCTGTGTTCCTAACTGGCC